AACGTATTTAGAGGAATCCCGCCTCCCCTTTACGGACTACAGTTTAAATATAGCTGTTATTGGATATTTTAATCAACAAAATTACCGAAGGACTCTGCCTCCCCCTTTGATATCAATTAAAGAACCCCCCCCCCCCACACACACACACACTTTTATGTAAACCAGCGTTCTTATTGTAAAGTTTTCTTCTCCAGTGGCATGGCACGTGTGATTACTTCCTCTTTCATTTTATAATTCAAAATCAATTCAGGATGATGATCATTCATCCGTAGATTTTAACATTGACATTCCTCATTTGTCGAACAGCGCGACGTGGCGCTGCTCTGGCTACATTGCCCTCCCATTATGTTAGCGTAAGATTTAAGCCTACAACCCACCGTAAGTGTTGTGGACACGCAAGGGGTCGTAAATGGGGTTTGGTAGCTTGCAGACCGGCCGCAAGAAACCGGGTGAAAGTTTTTTAAATAGTACGGACACAATACTTATCACAAGTCTCTATACGACCAATCTGCGATCTTCTACGGTGTCGACTACACGCAAGTGACGCGCAGGGATCACGTGGCTAAGTGGGTAAGACGCTGGCTCGCAAGCCTGGCGGTCGGGTGTTCGATCCCTGCATTGGTCGAGAAAGTTCATCCAGATTTTCCGGCGTGGTTCCCCCTGACAAGGACAGCTGTCTAGTCCTTCGGATGAGACGAGGTCCCGTGTATATATTGGAATATACGTAAAAGATCCTCTGGCAGTTGGAATTCGATAAAAGAGTAGGCGATAGTGCCGCTGCCCGAACAAAATTTCCCTCATAGCACACTGTATGGCGTATGCCCGTCTTCATTAGCCCAGTATAGGAGCAGAACAGTAGGACGTTAAACCCCATTTCATTTCATTTTCATCTCACGCACGGGTTTAGAATAATTTCCCCGTAGACTGGCCGTAGTATCAAGTACAGCGGGTTGTGGGCTAAGCTTTACGCGTAAGACTATACTTAGTAGAGAAAATGCAGTTCGGAATTTGTACTCAGGTTAGATCTGTTTAACAAAAAAAAAATAATAATAATAATTTTACCTTTAATTTAAATATTTTTTTTTTGTTGAGTATGACGAGCGTGGGAATTTTAATATTTATTGTGTTTTTACTTATTTTTATAGATAGAGAATAAACTTATACAAATATATAATTACAGGATAGTAAGACGCTATTCAAATAATTATTATAAATGTACGAAGAAAGATTAATTCAATTCATAAGAAATCATCATTGCATGACAACCTTGTTTTTATTCAAGTCTTCGTTGACTTTCGTGATAATAATCCGATGATACACCGGCGTTGGACTACATACAACAACATGCAACGAAAGTAAGAAATGATATCAGGCGTTCTACAAAGCGCACGCTGCACATTTTATTTGGATTGAATTTTTCCGGCGTGGTTTTCCCCTTGTCCTGCACCACATTGTCCCACCACATCGTCCTTGTCAGGCCCCACGTTATTCACGATGCGGTGCAAAACGTAGGGCCTGACAGGGACAGTTGTCTAGTCGTTCGCATCCATGGGACGAAAAACCGAGGCCCCGTGTACACATTGGCGTGCACGTAAAACATCCCTTGCCCGTTGGAATTCGATACACGAGTAGTCCATAGGGCCGCTGTCCGGGCAAAATTTCCCGCATAGCACTCTATATGGCGTATACCCGGTTCCATTAACCTAATCGGAGCAGAACAGTAGGACGTCAAACCCCATTTGTGACCGGTGCCATCAAAATCAGTCGGAAGTCGCATTCATTCATTTTGCGCTATAGGCAAAATATGGCAGTCGGTGGTGAAATTATTGATTTTCAGTTTTCATCACCAAACAATAGTTTGAAGTGTTTTCTTTCAGAATTCTAAACCATCATTTTGGATTGAATCACGCTAATGGCGTATAAAATGTGGTGTAAAAAATCACAATTTTCGAAGTGTGTTTTGTGTAAATCATGTGTGGTGTACTCCCCCTGCACTTATATATTATGTAAGAGCTAAATCTGCCTATATCTTTATACTGGCTTCAAATGCTATATAAACTATTAATTAGACATATATTAACATGACAAGCCCATACTCAACTTTCTATAGACAATCGGATGGTTGTGATTTTGAACTCATTGAAACACGGTCGCTAATTTATTAATTTAATTTAATAATGGATAATATTGACTTTATTTATTATGGTAACAACGGTAACAATGGAGGTCGAGAATACGCTCAGATGAAGTAATTGGACTGAAATTTTCAATATATCCCTTTTTCATTATCTATTTTATAACTATTATAGCAAGAATGGCCAGATCTTTATCTAAATCTTACATAATGCATCTTTAACGACACATTTGAAGCATAACATTTAATACAAACCCGGACACTTAGCTATAAAACCAATTCTTGTTTAGTCGGTCTGTACACAATAAACAAAGTTAACACCAAAAAACGAGAAATTAAACGCCCTTGAAAAATGCCTTATTCAAAGAAAGTCAGTAAGTTCGATAATGAGGTATTTCTAAGATTATTTTGAATATGTTATTTGATTTACAACTAATTTAGAAATTCAAATGGTTTTTAAAGTAACGACGCGTCATTTGCATGTTTCGCTAAAATATCAAATTTCTCATGCCTTAATCCACGCTAATATTTGCTAAGATTGATTATTAGACATTAAATTAAGAAAACAGAGTCTAAAACGCTGGATAATGCCCCGGCTTGAATCAATCTGGTTTAAAACAGACCAAACAATAAAATTCGCGGACAACAAAATTGTGGCGGGCTGGATAGATCCATGACACTTCAATTCCACATATATTTGCAAAAACGGAATGGAATTGAACCATTTTTGGAGTGATTTGCCCATTAAAGATTCGTCTTTCACACTAATCTAGTTTGCAAATGATTCGTTTTGCTTAAAAATGGCGCATTTGGATTTTAAGTTCCGCACGGGCGGATCCAGGAATTTTTGCAGTAAGGGGTTTGCCAGGTACCTGAGACAGTATATCTGTATTTGGGAAATGTGACGATTCTGAGGTTTGTAGATGGTCATAATAGCATATTTTTAATTCTCTGCAAAGACTGGACGTCGTTGGCTATTGTATAAATAAATATTGCTAGTTGGTGCATACAGGTTAAACAGCTCTTTTGTTCTCGGTCATATCTGATAGAATATTTCACCTCTTATATCATTATATGGCTGTTGTTTTATTCTTCCAATTTATACAAGTGCGATTCCTGACAAGAAAATCTTTAATCAAATAGTCGTGTCGAACCTCGAGGTTTGAATATCTTAAAGACCTTAATGACTATCTTCAGTAATCTTTTTGATAAGTTTAATTTCGTTTCCTGATTTTACGAATCTCTTCAACATATCTTTTTTTTTTGCACGAGAACGCTATCGTGGACCGTGCTTGTGAATAACGTCCTATGGTAGAATCTGTATCTTTATTTTTTCCTTATATACTGGTCGAGGGTTAGAAAATAAGATCTTTATCTGGCAATTATAACAACATTACGTTGGCATTAGGAAACCGCGGGAACCCGATGGAGTAAGAGGAAAGCAGTTATACTCTTAATGCCAAACAAATTTCTTGAGTCACGTCGCCGGAATAAGTCAATAAAAGGAATTCTCCCGAAAAACGTAAATGAGGCTGAACAAATTCGTTTGGTTCCTTTAGATCTTCTGCTTCAATGCCGCCATATTGATTAACCGATTGTGATCAGACCCAAACATGAAAATAACCCACCAAAAATCTCGCCGTATGTTTTTGGTAGAATTCTCCGTGGGTTAAACATTCCTGAAGTTCAACCAATCATCCATCACTGCTAGAAACGATAAGATATCGATTTACGCTCAATATAGTATTATATGGCAGACCAGCCCCGCAATCTTGTTTTCTTCGTTGTACTTGTTGATACACAAAACATCTACCACAGAACCTAAATTATAATTAGGTTCGTATGTTCGATGAATATCTAAGTATGGAAACATAGGGACATCACGTGAAAGATAACCGTTAATTGCGAAGATTTTGTTACCGAGGTAATGAATATGTTCTGAGATATTTTCATCCCTTATATCTACGTAATTTCTGAATATGAATCAGTATGAAACGAGAAAAAAAAGGGAACGACAAAGGCATCTTCAGTAGAAGGCTTGATCCCACTTTAACGCCGTATATAAGGCTTGATCTCGCCTTAACTTCATACATTTTAGCTATACTGCCCTACAAAGGAGAAAGGCAGTATCTGCAACATAATCATAGTGTAGATACTGCCTTCTTCCTTTGCACGGCAGTATAGATATTGTAAAATTCGCGGTCGTTCCTTCGGGAACACAGGGAAACGTGTGACCTATCTTTTCTAAGAAAAGCTATCTAATTATGCATTCAGCTGTACATTGTATATCCTTTGTTCAGCTTTGCTAGTGTACTGAATTACATATTATGGATACCGCCTGGGAGAAAAATCCCATAGTTATTGCACGGACTTTAAGCACATGAAAACCAGTCTTCTTAAAAATATTTTAGTCGAAGTTTTCAAAATAACGGGTAAGTCCTTATAAAACTATCTGTAGCTTTCAGGTTGTGTACGTTCGTTCGTTCCTGGAGGTTGATATCGTAGACAAGGGGTATTGTAGAAAAGCACTGGCTTTAATATTGATGAACTATAAATGAAAGTTCTATATGGGCGTAATTAGTTTCAAGTAAAGTAATACCAATTAGCACGACTATCGTTTAATCCAATCGAAATAAATCATTTCCCAATCAATCCTCCTTAGTATACTACTGTGCGCATATCAAAGAAGAAATCAATTGTGTCCCAAGCATCCTTCCATATTCGATATTTTTTTGTGTCATGTAGACATAAGCCTCGGGCATTTTAGTATAATAACCAGTGTACACGAAAACAATCGTTTCCCAAGCGGTCTTCCATATTCGATATTTTCTTTGAGTCGTATATATGAGCCTCGAGCATTTTAGTATATCCAGTAGTGATTGTATACATTCAACTTGACAGCATGGTTAGATTGAATTAACTGGATACGTTTTATGACGGACGGAAGGAAGGAAGGAGGGAAGGAAAAACGAATTAATTAACAAGATGAAGGATATTAACAATTACATCATATTAGCTTTACTTTTTATTTTACAAATCTATCAGTTTACTGAAGGTAAGACATTTTACGTTGATAAATATAGTATTTACTTATCTAGATCTAATTAAACACTCAACGGTTTAGAAATTAGTTCAAACATTGCACTAAAGGTTTAACAGGAGAAATGGGTTAATGAAGGCGGGCATACGCATTCAGTGTGCTAGGAGGGAAATTTTGCCCCGGCAGCGGCGCTACGACCTACTCTCAGGGGTTCTTCTGTACACTTGACCTCGGTTTATTGCCCCATCCAAACGGAAAGACACCTCCATTGCCAGTTTTCAGAGGGGAGAGAGAGAGAAATGGGGTTTAACATTCACTCGACACAAACTAGGTCATTTCGGGACTAACATGTGGTTTAATTTTATTTCAATAATTCGCTTGCGCGTAAGGGTCTTTAGCAATGGGAGGAAACCGGAGGACCCGGAGAAAACCCACGAGGTTGGACACGTACAACCGGGGAATCGAAACCACGCCAGTTGAATACTGTGAATAGTTAGCTCTAAATGAAATAATTTGAATAGAAATATTAGGCTCTATACCGTTCACAAATTATAACAATACCTGTTTTTTTTTAAAATGACCGTATCCTTAAATGACATTGCTTGATAAAGATAAATAAATGTAAGAGTATTGAAACGCTGCATGTAATAAACCAAAAAGTACATGTATTAAGTTCATAACGTTGTGTTATTATGAATTTTAAAAGACCAATTTGAATGACATCAATGAATAAAATAGCTGTTTCACTTTCAAATATTTCTGTATGTGTATGCCAACTAATCATATATGTGAATAAACAGGGGTTCTGGAATTGGATGCGGCATAGAAATAAATCTCATAGATTTTACAATTCTCTAAAACTGAATCTTTAAATTCGAGAAATTGACAGGACAGAATGACAGAATGGGCCCTTTTTTATGGGTTCGAAATCATATACGCGAAATCGATCTTTAAAATATATACTAAGTTATAAAAATAATGGTGGTATAACTATGGATTTTAGTTGATTAGTTTTAGTTTCCGGATCGTAGTTATACTATATGTTGAACATTCAGAATATATTTGTAATCCCTACGGAGATCTGACGCTGATGTCAGATTCATTCGGATACCAGATCTATCGGTTAATTCCGCTATACACGATCGACCCAGTATGTTTTCCATTGTTTATTTATAATTTCGTGCATTATTTATTAATGCTAGAGAATACCTTCTGTCATATATATCGGCTATAAACATATCATACTACTCGACAACATGTCATATATTATTATTCCACCTATTTAATTATGCATGTAGAAAGATGTAATTTCTTAACCCAACCGTGTCTTTAAAGATCAACTCGTTATTCCAATAATGGCAATATTATGATATTTGAACAGAAATACGCATGGGATATCTCTGCCATGTTGTAAATCTTTTGTTGCGATAATAAAACAGTCAGAGCTATAGACGTCGTGCACTAGGCAGAGTTTGCATATTTAGTTTGTGGTTGTATGGCTAGACCCAATATATTTTAATTATTAATCAGAAAGGGCAATAACTAATTGTCTTAATCAATCAAAATAATGATGTTTTCGGACGGCTTCTCCCAAAACAGCTTTGATAGCATTCCTGTATAAGCCTTGTTTACGAAGTGCATGTCAGGGACAGTGTCTAGTCGTTCGCATGGAACAAAATACCCGGGTCCCGTGTACACGTAAAAGAAGCCTTGACAGTTGGAATTCGAAATAAGGTAGACCATAGCGCAACTGTCTGGGAAATATTTCCCTAGCATACTGTATGGCGTATGTCCATCAGCATTAGCCCAGTCGGTGCAGAACAGTAGGACGTTAAACCCCATTTCATTTCATTTCCTGAATAAGCTATTACTAAGCAGTGAATGGATTTACTCTCTACAAAACAATTCTTTGTCACCTGGCTGACAGGTTACTACGATTGATAGATATTTACATCATATATTACACACTGTAACTTTAACATTTACAAATAAAATAAAAAATAATACAAATGTTTGCTAAAGTGAATCTTTCAAATCTTAGTAAATATAAATGAATAAATAGATAAAGGGGTGTTAGCGTCTAACTTTCGGGAACCAACTGTATAGTGAAAATGGAGAAATGTATAAATGAACTTTTTTTTAGATAAAATAATCCAGTGAAAAAATTAAAGTGGCATTCAAGAATTAAGTGAACTCTTTGAAACCGACACTCTCTAAATCTTATAAAGATATTTTAAGTTTGAATAGATATTTAAACGTGCACATACTTCACAAAAGTGAATAGTCTGCAGTCATACAAAACGTTTTTGAAAGAGAAATGTTTTGGAATGTTTTATCCATAGAATTTGAAAAAATAAAAAAAAAAGTAAATTAAAACTCTATTTGAATTTATTAAGATATATTCATTTCAATAATACTTTTAATTATTTGTGTCTCTACGTTTTCCTAGTCAGTGAGGCACTGGCTCGCTAACCAGGAGATACCGTCTGGACGTCTGGTCGTTCGGATGGGACGAAAACCCATACAGGTTGGCATGTAAAAGAATCCTTAACATTTGGAATTCGACACAGTTAGCCAAAACGCTGTTGTCCGGATACAATTTCCGACTTCATGAACCCGGATTGTGTAGATAAATTTAACGTTATATCATTTCATTACCGAATCAATCTGAGTGTATTATACAATAAGTTTAGGAAACTATCTGAATTTTTTTTTATAATTTAAGAAAATACTAGTAACCAGGTGTTCTAGCAAAAAAAAATAAGCATACCTTACCGCGTACACAGCACCCTTTGGTTTTATATAGCCAATTGAAGTAATGAGAATTTTTGCTTTGTCGCCTGACTTTTTATACAAATATGATTACCAGTTTATAATAGAAAAACCCCAGTCAAGATATTTCAACTGTGCACTCTGTCACACCATGAATTTATTCAACCCCGATACTTGAAATTAGACTGGCGTTCAATACATACTGGGTTGATTTCTTTCAATTCGATTATATGGTGTTTTGTTTGGGAAAAAGAAGGGTTTTTCTCTTTGTGTGCTTATTGAGATAGGGTATTTAGAACAGTTCATATACTACATTATACTTTACGCGAACCTTCAAATATACATATACTTATACTACTAATTGGACATTTTATGTAGCTATATTTCTTTGATATGTATACAAATTGCAGCTTTTATGAGTATGTATTTTATTTAGATCCTATATACAAATAGCAATACACGAGTAGATTTAACAAATTAAGGGGGGCCCCCGTTTTGATTATCTTCGGTATATCAATAGAAACATGTGCCTGGCTGACTGATTACGGGGTTAACTTTTGCTTCCATCTATGGTCATATCGCAGACTCGTATTTCCAAAGATTCCTACAGGTTCTAGAACTAGATTAGACGACAAGGTTTGCACCAGGACATGGCTGCGGCAAACGTTTGAGACAGTGACCGCTGTTTACAGTGGTGCTGCCTTGACAAACGTCTGATAAACGAAACATGGCAGTTCCCAGGAACACCGTTAGTAAAATATGAACACAGGAACACTTGTGACTAGACTAAGTGTGCTAATATGTTTTTGAAATATCAGGTGAATTAACAAGACAGTCGTATTATTGGCTACAAAACACTAACAACTGGTTTGTTCCAGAAAACCAAACCTCGTGGATAATTATTGATTCCATCATCCCGCCGATATTTGTAGCAATTCAAAGTAGCATTGTGTTTTAAAGACCCCGAATATGTCATGTAACATCGCTACATCCAGCCTAAAAAAATAGCTTTTTTTTCATCTGACATACGAGATGGAAATTATTTTACGCCCACCAAGTCTTGAAAGTGAATGTCAGAGATATAAAAAGGTTTACCACGTAGAATCTAGATTGATTATAAATGGCGATATTTAAATGGTCGTCTGAGAATAATGCTAATCACGTCAAAAAACAAAGCAAAACGCTTTTATAGATACACTCATGTATCATAATTTGGTTTTGTCATTAATTGAATTATACAAAGGCTTATGCAAGGGGTTTGGATGACCGAATGGTTAGTACGTGCACGCTGTATCATAAGGTCTGTCATTGAGTCAACTGGCGTGGTTTCGATTCCCCGGTTGTAGGTGACAAGGAGTAGGGTGGCCTGTCATTCTCGTTGGTTTTCTCCGGGTCCACCGGTTTCCCCCCACTGCTAAAGACACCTACGCGCAAGCGAATTATTGAAATAAAATTGAAGCATGTGTTAGTCCCGAAATGATCTAGTTTGTGTTGAGTGAACGTTAAACCCCATCTGATGCTTATCATGTAAGTTACAGATACTTTAAAGCTCTTTAAACATACGTTATGCAAGAGCTAAATCTGCCTATTGTATGTCTTTTTTTAGGCCTGAAATGTTATATAAACTATTAATTATACATTTATTAACATGACAAGACCTTAATCAACTCTCGATGTCATCGGATGGGTACGATGTTAAACAGATTTGAATTCGGCCTGGGATTCAACGGCTGTTCATGATAACTGTAAAACTGGATAATCGCGACAATGTTTATTATCGTAACAACGGTAACAATGACAATCGAGGCTACAATGTTTTTGAAATTCGTTTTTCTCGGCTCACAGTGAAGTATTGTGACTGAAATTTTCCGCGTAAGAAAGTGAAAACATAATTATTGCTGTATCTATTGCCTGTCAAATCACTTTTATAGAATGGGAATCATTCTAGCACTTAAAACACATTCAGATAAAACTTTGAAATGTTAATCTATTCGCCCACGGTACGTGAGAATTTTATCATCATTCGCACTGGAAAACTAAGTCCACATATTGGCAGGTCTATTTGTTAAGGCCAACTTCAATGTTGGTCAAAGGTCACGAGATGTAAACAGGGCTAGCGCTAATCCTAGGTCAGTGCTTATGTGGAGACTTAACCTCTCCCCCAAATTCTTAAACCTAACCCTAGCCCTAATGCTTACCTTAAACCTAACCTACAATCTGGCCAACAATCACGTGCCCTAACC